ATTTTACATCTATGTTTAGCAGTTAATGAGCTATAAATATACCCGCTAAAAGCATCTGCATTGAGCATTGCATATCAAGGAAAGATGTATCTGTTTTGAACCATAGAAAGAACGAAAGCATTTTTTATTTACCCTATTTATTCTTGGTTGGTAGGAGTTGGTTGTAGTTTGACTTGGTCAGAAAGAATGAAGATTGCTTTAGATGCTGCAAAAGGGCTTGCTTTTCTTCATGATGCGGAAAGACCCATCATATACCGTGATTTCAAGACGTCAAACATATTGCTGGATGTGGTCAGTCATCATTTCTTTGTTTTTCATCAGTTGGCCGTACAATTAATCGTGTATTATTTTATGGAATCTTTAAAAATGGGAAGACTAATAAACTTGTATATGATCTTTTCTCAGTTCCATACCCTTTCTAAAGAAATTTCTACAAACAGAAATTTAGTTTTATTGTAGCTCCTAAAAGTCAAAAGCCTTATGACAAGGATTATCCATACCTAGAGTTCAATTGAAACTTAAGTCGAAGTTTCCCATGTTTTCTGATTAGGAAGTTTTAGTTTTTATTTCTAAATATGCATGTAACCTGTAGGACTTCAATGCAAAGCTCTCAGACTTTGGACTTGCGAAGGAGGGACCAATGGGAGACAAGACCCATGTGTCAACACGAGTGATGGGCACATATGGATATACTGCTCCTGAATATGTGATGACTGGTTAGTAATTAATTATTCTGTTACAATGGAACTGGAACTATTCATCTTTGCAAAAAATGAGGAACATTGTTAAGTCATAAAGATAGGATCTTAATAAATTATTAATAGGCTTCTCTTAGACAAGTGGTGTTAAAAAAGACCGTTACCTTTTATTTTAATCTTTAATTATTTTTAATATGCCTGGTATATATCATCCTGTTATGCTAATGGAGTTTAAAAGCTGCCCTGGCATTGGATGGAATCGTTTTCTTTCTTTTATTCGCGGTAATTAACATTTTGTTCAGTTCAACGGAAGTTGGAAGTATTGTTTTCGTGGAACACGTTCCTGGTGTTTTAGTGGTATGCGTCTTGATATTCCAAAAATGCATAAGACAGTATGTGAAATCAGATGTCAACATTCCACAATAATTTTGGAACTGTTTCAATTTTATTTTTACAGCGAAATTCTTGTGTATTAGAATTGTTTGTTGGCTTTATGACTTGAGAAAAGTATTTATTATGCATGAAATATATTTAGTATTCTGAAATTAGAAGAGGATGGAGACAAATTGTTTCAACTGCCTCATAGAACGTGTTATAGAACAGTTCTGTGATGCTCTTCTTTTGTTATATCCGTTCCTAAGCTCTACTCATAGAATCTTAATGTTTAGTTATGCCGGTGCTAGAAATGATAAAGGCTAACCAAGATGTAGTATTGATATGACCAGGCCATTTAACGGCAAGGAGTGATGTTTACGGATTTGGAGTCGTGTTACTCGAGATGCTCCTCGGAAGAAAAGCAATGGACAAGAGCAGGCCTAGCCAAGAACATAACCTGGTTGAGTGGGCTCGCCCCCTCTTAGTCCATAATAAGAAACTTATGAGGATCTTAGACCCTAGAATGGAAGGCCAGTACTCAGCTAAAATTGCAATGAAGGTAGCCAATTTGGCACACCAATGCCTTTGCCAAAACCCCAAAGGGAGGCCTCTCATGAGCCAAGTGGTTGAATTACTTGAGACTTTTCAGACAAAGGTGAGTGATGAAGAGGCAATGATCCAACGCGGGGGTGGTGGCATAACCCTATATGAAGCTCCGGGTAAATCCCCCCGCAGTCGGAATCCGGGCAGAAGTGAAAGTCATAGAGAAGTGGGTGCAGAGGGAAGCAAACCAACAAATGGAAGAAGCAAGAGTGAACCTCCCAAAGAGGTTGATCTCTATGATCCTCCTTCCTTTCTCTCTCTCTCTGTAGAAGAAACAATGTGAGTGGAAACTTAAAACTTGCACTTCTTCTTGTCTCTCTCTCTCTCTCTCGCTGTGAAATGAATATGAGATTTTATGGAAGACTGCAAGTGGTGGTTAGCCGGCCGGCCTCCAATGGAGGGATGCCATGTTGTAACTTGTATTCCATTACCTGCTTATTTTTAAACAACAGCATCATTTCTTTCAAACTTTTGTGTTTGAAGAAGAAGCTGCAAGTTCTAAGTTTTGCTTTCGTATTTTTACCACCAATTTGAAATTTTATTTCATATTCCTCCAAACTAATTATCGCGAAAAAAGGTATACTATGAGTAGAACACGGAAAAAACACTTTTAAATGATATTTTAAATATTTTCCCAAAGAGTATGAAAACTAGAGTATACTAGTCGCATCCATTTTCCCCAAAATCATCAAAAGACGTACACCGGTCACTAAAGAACATTGCTATCACGATGAAGGATGAACATCATAAACACTAGTTTAAAAATATATATAACAATGATGACACATCGACAAATATATCATATTACAATTCAATTGTGATCTATGATTGTCAATTCATTTGTGATCTATGATTGTGAGAGTGTAACAATATAACAAAATCAGTCTAATGATCCAAGTTAACGATGTATCAATAAGATGATTAAATAAACACCAACTAGAACAACGACATCAAATTTAATTCTAAAAAAATTGTGTTATAAAAATATAAAATATAAAGCATTCTCATTATATAAAAAGAAAAGAAAAGATTAATTAAAGCAAAACCAAATGAGATCTTGATAAACTGAGAAAGGTTGAAATCATAAGATTTTGAGTGTTTTAATTCAACTTGCATTCTTTGAAATATTTCCGGAATTTATTATAGTCGAATTATTGGGTAGGTGATTGGGTTGTTTGGTAGCGGAGGTTCAAGAGAGAATTAGGCCTCTGAGCAGCTAGTAGAGATCCAATGCTATCCATGCAAATATCCTGTTTTGTTCTCTTTTTCTTAATAATTGAACTCTCGTACAAAATTAACATTTATATATTCCTTTTAGTATTCTCAATTAAATAAAAAATTGAAAATATTAATTAATACGTACGTATCCCTTTACTTCATCTCTCTATAGTTGAGGCGATAAAATAACTCTATTTCGTCATTACAATTATTTGCATATGTTTGAGTATAAAATAAATATAATTATATATATTTCTCTTGACAGTGATAATGATCGATCTCTTCTTTAAATGATTTTCCATTTTTGCTACTAGTTTTTAAAATTGATTATTATTAATTTAGGTGTTGTTTAATATATTTAAAACTTAAGTGCTTAAAATTTAAATTATAAATTTTTCAGTATTTATTTAAGATATGATTTGAATGTTTGGCAAATATAAATTTTAGATGATAATAATGGTTAAGAGAAATAAAATAAATCAATGGTTAAATGCGCTGTATTACTGGCCTTGAAGAGGTTGGTAACCAAATAACAAAAAATACTATAGTTTTAATCGTTCACATATAAATTGTTGAATTATTATTATTTGGTTGAAATTCTTTTAACATTTTTATTTAATTAAAAAATTTTTTTATTTTATTAGAGTGCGAAGATTAAATTTTAAAATTTATTTTAAAAAACAAACTTCTTGGTGACATTTAGAAGTAGACTTAAAGAACTACGTAACTTGTTCATGCATACCTATAGTAGCCGTAATTTAACGTTTAACAGTAAATAACGTCGATAACAAGATTTTATTCCCATTATTCGACCACGATTTAAAAAAAAAAATAAGTGTTTAACAGTAAATTGAACCTGACAAATTCACATAATTAAAGCAAAAAAAATACCCTTTTCCCTATTTCTCTGATTTTCAGCTCATTAAATCGAACCTGACAAATTCACATAGTTAAAGCCAAAAAATACACTTTTCCCTATTTCTCCGATTTTCAGCTTGTGCTTGGTTGTTTCTGTAATTTTGGGCTCTGCATTTCCTTCATGTTCTTTTCTTCTTCTGTTACTCTTTCTCTCTAAAACCCATATGACATTTTGTTTTCTGAAATTCCATTTGATTTTTTTTTTGGTAATTTATGCACTTATTTTTTGTTTTAATTTATGGTTTTGGGTTTTAGCTGCAATTTGTTTGATGTTATACTTTACGCTTTGAAGCTCATTGTGCTCTTCAATTTAGAACATTATAGCCTTTTTTAACATTTATCTTTGGGTTTGATATTAATTTTTAGTTTTAGTTTTTAGTTTTAAGGTGATGTTGTTAAGTGAGCAACGATGGTGCTTGAGGTAATAGCTTAATTTCTGAATCTTTTTAATGCATTTTTTTAAAATTTAGTGTGCATTTTATGCAGGTATTGAGAGAAATTTTGATTGTGAAACTTGAAAATTAAGCTATTTGGGACTCTATTAAGTTTCCTGGTTTTTGCCATATATGAAGTGAGATCTTATTTCTTAGTGCTGGCGGTAAAATGGTGAATGCTCTATCAATATCGCTGTATTTTAGACCTTCAAAGTTCAGATACTAGATCAGTGGGGGTACTTAATGTTCTTGGAGGGAGGGTGTTAAAGGAGAATTTTTAGGGAAACTTAGCTGCCTTAAAATGTGTGATGAGAAAAGTGGGTCTTCAATTATAATTATTATTTTTAAAATAAATTGTGTGAAATTTTAAAAAAATTCACGACCGCGACATCCCTAGTGACCGCAATGGAATTCGTTATGTCCGCGATGGAATTCGTTATGTCCGCAACTGCGATATACACGACGTGACTGAAAACGTAACCGCGATCGCTATTTAAATCCCTGGAGATAATTGTAATAATATCAACCTCTCTAATTTATTTTCTTCCAAATAAATCCTTATTTTATCTAATGAAAATAATATATATATATATATATATATATATATTTGTGTGTCGAGTCAAATACGAATGGGAATGTGAGTTTTTAACCCAAAAATCATCTTATGCAGAATTAGCAAGTATTTAAGTTTGCTAATCATTTTCATCTTCTTTCATTCAACCATCAACCTGCTAAGTGCTTCTCTACGCAAAGAAAAAACAATGTGGAAGCTTAAGGTCTCTCAAGGGAACGAACATGGACTCAAAAGCTCAAACAATAACATCGGCAGACAGTACTGGGAGTTCGACCCTGATCTTGGTACACCGCAAGACCGAGCTCGAGTCGAACTGGCTCGGAACCACTTCACCGACAATCGTTTTCGAACCAAGCAAAGCTCTGATCTTCTAATGAGATTTCAGGTACGCACACACTAAATACAATGTTTTCTTCATCTTTAATTTATGTAATTGTTTCTGGTGCAGTTTGCAAGGGAGAATTCATCCGCAGGTGATGAAATAAAGCTGCCTGCCGCTGCTGCTGCTAAGGTCAACGCCTCTGGGATTGAGGAAACCGTGAAGGTTACATTAAGAAAGGCTCTAAGATTCTATTCAACGTTGCAAACTGAAGATGGATTCTGGCCTGCTGATTATGGCGGCCCTTTGTTCCTTCTACCGGGAATGGTACATATATGCTAACTCACTATTTTTCATCATTTTCTTTTTTGGTCTAATTCTTTAGAACGTCCTTCTACAATGCGTTTTTGGAGGATTTGATTCTTTTAAAATAATTTGATCATTTCTAAGGCCTCTGTGTTTCTGAATGAATACTCGGAGCAAGCTAAGGGAGAGAAGGGTTGTTATGATAACGAAGATTTAAATCTGAATTAATCAGTCAATAAATCAAATATAAAGTCGTTTCAATACCATCTCAATTAAGAAATTACATAAAACTAAATTATTGAATAAACTCAATTTGCTTATAATGTTAAATTACTAATGTGGTTATTAAAAGATTAAAACTACATCTCTTATTAGCCCCACTTCTCCAATTTTTACTCTACTGAAATCATGTAAGCTATTGTAATATAATTTTTGGATAAAGTAGATCATATATCACTAAATTGTGATTAAATGATTGTTCTAATTACTGAACTTTCAAAAGTCATAAAATGATCACTATAATATTATTGTAAATGCAAAGGTTTGATCAATTTCATAATCAATGATCTCTGATATACTTTACCCATAATTTTTCCCGATAACTTCTTATTCATTTTCTATTTTAATTATCATTTTATTCTCTTAATAAATATAAAATTAACTAGTTATTCTTTTATGATCACGTAGCAGTATAGAAGTGGTTATGGAGTTTTGGCGTTTCACTGTTCGTATTATTAAATGTTTTTAATTAATTTGTTTAATCTTATAAATTAAAGGCGATATTGTAGTCATCTCGTTAGCTTATCTGCAGACTTTTCGCTTAAATATTATTTCATGGAAAATGAAGTTCCATCAATAACATTAACATCACATCCCTTTCATAAACTTACAAAATGGTCCCCTCCAGAGCCTACCAAGTTATTATGATATAAAAGAGGGTTTAAATCATGTAGATGTGAACAAGGACAGAATCAAAGAATATAGTAAAGAGGTACGTAAATAATTAGAATTAAATATTGAGAAAGATCAGCGAGTTTAATTTCAAAGAACAAGTATCCAATAAAGAATTAAGCCTAAAAGATTGAAGAGAACAAAATTTGATCAATATTTAAAATAATAGGAACCTAAAGTGTCATTTGATAGAAAATTTTGAGGGGACAAGAGCCCCAATTTATTTGGTCGATGATGATTTAAGTTTTTATAAATTTAAATATTGGATGTATAGATTTTAAGCAAAAGTATAAAGAAATATAGTATAATTTAAGATTAAAAAATATTGAAAATAAGTGCGATCGAAAATGTAATAAAAAAGTATAACATTTTAGGTTGCTTCCAACCTAAAATGTTACATACTTCATAACATTTTTGTTAAACATAAAATGTTATGAAGATTGTAATATTTTCGGTTGCCAACAAAAAATGTTATGAAGAATATAACATTTTAGGTTGAATCGATAATATTATGAAGATGGTAATATTTTAGGTTATGTCAAACCTAAAATGTTATGCTTTTTTATAACATTTTCGGTCGCTTTTATTTTCACTGTTTTTTTAACCTTAAATTATTAGGTTATATCGTGGAATTACCCAAATTTTATCCTTTTAAAATTTAAATTTAAATATTTAATAAGTTATTTTATTTTTTAAGTTCGATAATTTGGTCTCGAATGTTCGATATTAATTCAATTTCTGAATGTAAAAATGCATTATTATTATTATTATTATTATTATTATTATTATTATTATTATTATTATTATTATCTATTTTGAATAAATATATAAGATTTGGGAGAAGATAAATGGTACTTGAACTTGGTGGATTATATGATAGGTGATTGGGTTGTTTGTAACCGGAGCTTTGGACATAATTTTGCCATCCCAGCATCGGCAGGAGATACGCAGCTATCTATACAACCATCAGGTTTTGTCTTTTGCTTTGTTTATTTATCCTAATCAATCCTCTTTTCCCATAATACATATTCCTTTGTTGGTATACTCTTATTCCTTACTTAAGGTATATATGGTTGAAAGTGAAGTTTTGATTCCTCTATTACACTCGGTATTTGGGATTTAGTCCCTATTTTTTTATAATATTATTAGTTAATTTAAACAATTAACTTCATTAATTACTCTTAGATTTTTGGTTAAATCATATTTGTGATATTTTTTTATTAATTTAATAGTGATTACAAGGTAGACCATTTAATTTTGAAAGATTTTAAATTGTTCACTGATATTTTAATTTCATTAATCAGATTATTTATCTATTTAAATGAAGCTAATTAAGTCATCTCTCTATAATATTTGACAGATTGATTGAACGGACACTAAACAAAATTAATATAATTATACATTTAGTCCTTATTATTTATACATTCTATCAAGTTAGTATAATCTAATAAATTTAATCCCCAATGAGATATTTCTAAACCCTTATTAGGTTGAATTTGGATGGAGAAAATATGCTTCTCGAATCGGGTCAAGTTAACCGAAAACTCGTCCCAACCTAACTTGTCATCCCTATACATAATGATGGGAGGGGTAAAGTTCCTAAATTTTTGTTTAATGACAATTTTGATTCTTATTAATTTGAACATTTGTCATATTAAGTCTTATTTTTTAAAATTTGATATTTTTATAAATTCTGTAGTTAGATAACTTGATTCCTCCCACAGCACTCTCCTACGTCACCCTCAGACTGCTCGGAGAAGCAAAGGATGACGGTGACGGTGCAATGGAGAATGCAAGGAATTGGATTCTGAATCACGGTGGCGTCACCTTTATTCCTTCCTGGGGCAAGATGTGGCTTTCGGTACGTATATGTTTATATAATAATTCATTTCTCTCTATATATATATAAATAATCTATAAGCAAGACGATGCTGACGAGGTGTTTGAATATTTGTTTCTGAGGTGCTGGGAATATACGAGTGGGATGGGAACAATCCACTACTCCCAGAACTATGGCTTCTTCCTTACTGTCTGAATCCCATACATCCCGGACGGATGTGGTGTCACAGTCGGATGGTGTATCTGCCAATGTCTTTTTTATATGCCAACAAGTTTGTGGGGCCCATTACTTCCCTTGTTTTGTCTCTCCGTCGAGAACTCTATTTGCTTCCTTATCACCTCGTTGATTGGAATGAAACCCGTTATCTTTGTGCTAAGGTAACTACTTAATTTTGCATTTTGCTCCAATTTTGGTGAGTAAATTGATTTTTTTTTAATTTTAGTGATTAAAATAGATGTAAAAAAATAAAGTGAACGATAAAATTTATAATTTATCTTTTTTACCTATTAGTTACTATACTTTTCTTGGCTTCATTACAATATTATCCGAATTTATAACATATAAATTCACAAAAAATAGATCAATCATATTCGAATCCATAAAAATAAATCATGTATATTATATTTTATCTAATTCTGATCATTTATTTTAAAAAATGTTATATTTCAGTCATTTATGTTATTGATTTATTATATTTTGGTTATTGGACTTTAGATAAAATATCAATTTAATTTTAAATTTTAGATAAATATTAATTTGATCTCAAAATTTGAACCGTCATCGAACATTATCGCCAGTGATAGTTCAACCCTAAAATTTCAAAATTTTCCTTTTCTAATATCTTAAACGTAAATTTGATATTTATTTCTTATAAATATATTGATTATAATTATATCTTATTGGATAATTGTAATTTTTAATGCATATATGTATTATTATTAAGTAGGTAAATATATTTGCAGGAAGACCTATATTATCCACATCCTATAATACAAGATTTGTTATGGGAATGCCTTGAAAAAGTAGTAGAGCCTGCTCTACAGAAATGGCCATTCTCTAAGATAAGGAAAAAGGCTGTTGACGTTGTGATGCAACACATCCACTATGAGGATGAAAGTACTAATTATCTTTGCATTGGCCCTGTGAGTAAGGTAAGCTACTTGTTCTCATGAATCAACATTTGATATAAACTCGACGGATTCTGATTTAACTCAAGTAAATCGAGTTTTTTTAAAGGATGAGCACAAGTTAGATTCAAGTTTTGAATGAAAAAAATTGATCCGACATGATATGATATAATAATATATTAACTCTTATATATTTAGAGATAATTGTAATAATATTCCTTATATTTTTTTTAATTAAGTGCTTATTTTACCTAATAAAAATGAAATTATATATATCAAATTGAGTGTGGATTTTTACTTTGAAATTTAGATTAGATAGAGTTATATTAAACTCCGGTCAAATCAAGTACATTGAAGGTGTTTAATTTTCGAGTTAGATTCAAGAGGACAAAAAACTTGATCCGACCTAAATTTGGAGGTGTTTAATATTTGAGTTGGATTCAAGCGGATAAAAAATTCGATCCGACCCATGACGATATATACTTGTTCCAAACTGGCCTTTTTGTTAAAACCCAACATTAATTTTCTAATAATATGTACGTGAACTACAGGTCCTGAACATGGTATGTTGTTGGGTCGAGGACCCAAACTCCGAGGCATACAAGTGTCACCTTTCAAGAGTTAAAGATTACCTCTGGGTTGCCGAAGATGGCATGAAAATGCAGGTTTATATATAGGCATCTACATTGATATAAATATATAGGGTTTAACAGATGAAGAAACACTGTGTCTGTGACCTTCTGTATGATGCCAGGGATACAATGGATCTCAGCTATGGGACGTTGCTTTCTCAGTTCAAGCAATCTTGGCAACCGACCTGGTGGACGAATATGGTTCAATGCTTAAGAAAGCTCACTGCTTCATTAGAAACACACAAGTACATGCAGATTAACAACATCTAAATTCTTTCTTTCTTTCTTCTTATGATTAAGAATCAGAACTGACTGTTGTATTGCACTTGGATTGGTTAATTAAAGGTGAAAGAAAAACAATGGGAAAAGCCTTAGTTTATGGTATCGCCACATTTCAAAGGGAGGGTGGCCTTTCTCAACTCCAGATAATGGTTGGATCGTCTCCGATTGCACTGCCGAAGGATTGAAGGTACATGTGATTTTATTGGTTAATGATATGATTGATTAACTAAGGGGAAATTAATAAAAACTTGTGAATATCAGGCAGCACTTTTGTTATCAACGATGCCATGTGACGTAGTAGGTGAAGAGATTATAGCATTAGCACCAGATCGATTACATGAAGCTGTTAACGTCATTTTGTCTTTACAGGTAACATATATAAATTCAATTTATAAAACTTTTCAGACTTCTCTACTGTTATTCTGTACGAGATAATGACAGTGGTAAACCCTAAATAAAAAACTCACAAAAATAATAAGAATACAAAAGATTTTGGGTTATGTGCAGCTTTCAAGACTTAATCGACTAGCCTATAACCCTCATCACTGGTATCTATTTGTAGAGATAATTGCTTGATTATAAAGAAAACTTGCACAGCAATAAATCTATTCAAATTAGATGTCTTGCTTTAGGTCAACGTCTAACATAGAAAGTATAGTCATGTACAGATTTCATGTGCGACAAGATTCTCAGTTTTCTCCTAATTTTATTTCTTTACCCGATTAGATCGCATCATATACTTTTCGGAATTAAATTAAGACTGAATTCGGATCACAAAACTCTTTAACATCTGACATTTTTTTGGATAGTATATTTAATTTGCTTTTTCGTTAATTTGCAGAATAACAATGGTGGTTTTGCATCATATGAGCTCACGAGATCTTATGCATGGTTGGAAGTAAGCACTATTTCATCCATTTAGATAATGAAGGAGAATTGATTTTGTTTGAGATTTCTTAACTTTTTTTCTGGGGGTGTGTGGTCTCTTGCAGATGTTCAATCCAGCTGAACTGTTTGGAGATATCATGATTGATTATCAGTATGATCCAAAAACACGTCTTTCTCTTAAGTTTTCTAGCTAATAATCACAACATAATTCGGCTGCCGTTGTAGCTTACTTTAATAACTGAAAATTCGATAATTCAGATACGTTGAATGCACTTCAGCAGCAATACAAGGCCTCAAATTATTCCGAAAGCTGCATCCAAGTTACAGAAGCAAAGAAATAGAAGCATGCATTAGCAAAGGAATCAACTTCATACAGAGCATACAACGACCCGATGGCTCGTGGTATGGGTCATGGGGAGTGTGTTTTGTGTACGGAACATGGTTCGGGATAAAGGGGTTGGTGGCTGGTGGACGGACTTACCACGACTGCGATAGTATCAGAAAAGCATGCGATTTCTTGCTGTCCAAGCAACTCCAGTCTGGTGGGTGGGGTGAAAGCTACCTCTCCAGCCAAAATAAGGTATTATTTTGAATTATTACTACTAATTACATGCAACCGATATAACGAATTAATTATATTCTTTTTTCGCAACACAAATTGTATAATTATTTGTAATAATGAAAATACGATAATAACGAAGGTAAAACAGTCGTAAAATAAAAAATACACAAAATTTTGTGTCTAAACTCTAATATATTTTTGTGTGCGGATAAATCAGAATTTTATTATCCAAGAGCAATGAAATTTACAACTAATCACCAATCAAGACAAAGGAGCATTACAAACATACAAAAGAACAAAAGATTGGTTAGACTATATTCCAAGCATTACAAAGATGGAAGTTAGTGCAATCAAGTCTATTAATAGTTTTTCCTCTAAGCCTTATACTAACTATTTCAATGATTTCCTTGAGCAAGTTGTCAACAGTTTGGGATCTTCCTTGAAATAGTCTGTGATTACGTTCTTGCCACAAAAAATAGATATAAGCATTCCATGAAATCTTCAAAATAGTGGTGATTAGAGACTTCCCTTTCCACTTAGAGCTGGCACGAGAAACCATTTCTTCCCAAGTCAATGCAGTGTAGTTCATACCATTCAGTTGAAGTACAGATTTCCAGAGGTCAATAGCCAAGGGGCATTGAGAAAACAAGTGATCCTTGCTTTCGTTTGATGCCCTGCAGTTCACGCAAATTCCAGCAGTGATTAATCCCATGCGCTGTAAGCGATCGCAAGTGGGTAAACTGTTCAAGATGGCCATCCAAGTAATCAAGATGTGTTTTGGTAAGTGCATAGGGTACCATAAAAGACGGTGCCAGTGCACTTTCGGCCCTTGCATTCGAATTTTTCCCCATATTTCCTTCGCTTGCTCAGAATACCAGAAGAATAAAGAGGATAAGCAATATTTCTCAACTTGAGAATTCTTCTAATATTCCAGCTGATATTAGACCCAATCTCAAACTGTCAGAAATTATGATCCTTGCAAACGTAGCTATTCAGCCATGCAACCCAGAGCGAACCATTTCCTGCAAGGATCTTTCTAATAAGACTCATAATGCACGCTTTGTTCCAAGTGGTAGTATTTTTCAAACCTAAGCCTCCTTCAGATTTTAAAAGACAAATTTGGTCCCAACTAACTCTTGCTCCAGTTGTCGATTTGTCAGCTCCTTTCCAAAAGAACCTTGAGCATAATTGATCCACTGATTTTAAAGTAGAAGCTGGAAGAATTAATTGTCTACTCCATAAATTGCTGACACTAAAAAGAACAGACCTGATTAGCTCGAGTCTGCCAGCATAACTTAAGTTTCTTGTAGACCAGTGGTGTAACCTTTGCCTAATCTTGTCAAGGAGAGGTTCACAGTCTTTCAGAGAAAGTTTTCGTGTAACAAGAGGTATACCAAGGTACCTAACAGGCAGGCAGTCTATTTTAAATCCAGTGATAATTTTCAGATTCTCAATATCCCTAGAGGATATACCCGCAGAGAAGATTTCACATTTAGAGGGATTTAAATGAAGTCCAGAAACTTGATGAAACTGGTGGAGAACACTCAAGACACCAGCTACAGAGTCCATATTTCCTTTGTAGAAAATCAGTAAGTCATCTGCAAATGAGAGATGAGTTAACCCAATTTTCTTGCATTTTGGATGAAAAGCAAAGATTCTTTTGGCAACAACAATATTAAGCATTTTTGAAAGCACATTTATTGCTAGGATGAAAAGATAAGGAGAAAGAGGATCCCCTTGTCTTAAACCTCTGGCCCCTTTGAAATAACCTATTAAGGTGCCATTAAAAGCAATAGAGTACCTAGCTTGAGAAAAACAGATTTCAATCCAAGCAATAAATTTTTGAGGAAGATGGAGGGCTTTAAGGATTGCTAATAAGAAATTCCAATGCAAAGAGTCGAAAGCTTTATGAAGATCTATCTTCATTGAGCATCTTGGAGTGATGGATTTCCTATCATATCCTTTTACCATCTCCTGGGCAAGGAGAGCATTATCGATGATATCACGACCACGGATAAAAGCAGTCTGATTTAAAGAGATGATCACAGGCAGAAAATCAATCAACCTATTAACAATGATTTTAGAAATAATCTTGTAGATGACTGAACAGCAGGAGATTGGCCTGAAGTCTTTAACAGTGCAAGGATTAGGGACTTTGGGGACAAGGGCAATTATAGTGGAATTGAAAGCAGGGTGAATATAGCCATTGCTGAAAAAAATAATTGACAGAATTGAGGACGTCTTCTCCCACTATTGACCAGCATTTCTTGAAGAAGAAAGAAGAGAAACCATCCGGTCCTGGGGCTTTTTCATTGCCTTGATTAAATAAGGCATTTTTAATTTCTTCAGTAGAGACCTCCTTAACTAGAGAAGGAGAAACTTCAGAGGGTAATGAAAAGTTAAGGAGGTCTTGGAGAATGGAAGAATCCATATCCTTGACCAAAGGATCAGTTGTACCAAGTAACTTATAGAAAAAAGTAGTCACTTCATTAGCCATGAAATCAAAAGTTTCAAGCCTATTTCCTCTTTCATCAAGAAGGACTCTTGTAGTATCCCTCTTGTTTTTAAAAGCCACTATAGAATGAAAGAATTTGGAGTTTGTGTCTCCTTCTTTAATCCATTGAACTTTTGCCTTTTGCTTGAGGAACAGAGATTCGGCTTCTTCAAAGGTCTTTAACTGATCTTGAATTTCAAGTTCATTCACAATGGAATCATCTCCCTTGAGAGTGAGAAGTTGCCGATTTTCCAGGTCAATTCTCTTTAGTTTCACACGGTTCGAGAGATTGATGAAGTTATCTTTGTTGAATTTCTTTAGGCAATCTTTGAGTCTTCTAAGTTTAGAGAATAAAATCATCATGGGATTTCCATGAGCATCTTGAGACCAAGAATTTCTAACTAGGAAATGGATGAGAAGCCCCAGAAATTAAAAAATTTGAAAGGTTTGGGTCTTGTTGCAGGGGACTCTTTTGAAAGTCATATGATGACCATACTATGGTCAGAAACACCTGGAGCAAGGAATTCCACAAAGGAATGATGAAAGAAAGAATCCCAAATAGGATTAATCAAAATTTTGTCAAGTTTCCTGGCAAGAAAAAGGTCCTGTTGCTTGTTGCTCCAAGTGTACTTAGGCCCAAAATAAGGGTGGTCAAGGAGGTTATGCTCATGGGTAAACTGTTGAAAATCGCTCATGTCAGTAGAAGAATAAGGCCCTAACAGCTCATGGTCAGAGCTTTCATGGGAGTGCAGAAAAATATTAAAATCTCCTCCTAAGACCCATGGAGAATGACCAACAGTAGTACTAACATCCTTTAATGCTAAGCTCTAATATTTTGTATCTATTTATTGACATAAGTTTCTTTTTTTACAAAGAAATTTATATGCTCTTCACCGGTTTCCAAAAGAAAGAAAGTAAAGTTCTATAAGGATTAACCTTCTCCGTATAAAAAGAATTTCTTTTTAACTATCTGGTCAAAAAGATTTTGGATCACACAATTGTAAGATTGTTCATGAATACGACTTATGCATTTCATTCAACACAGGTGTACACGAACCTGGAAGGAAACGAGCCGCATCTGGTGACAACAGCATGGGCAATACTAGCTTTGATTGAAAGTGGACAAGCAGATAGAGATCCGATGCCATTGCAGCGTGCTGCCAAGGTGCTGCTCGATTCTCAGCTGGAAAATGGAGATTTCCCACAACAGGTACTATCTGTTAACAGTACCTGGTACAGAAACAAACAGAAAAGAAAAACACATTTTTGTCCTTAATTATGGAAAAAACAAGTGCATATATTCTTCTAATAATAAATCTGGAATCTTTACAGGAGAGTATTGGAGTGTTCAACAAGAATTGCACCATCAGTTATTCATCCTACAGAAACATATTTCCCATATGGGCACTGGGAGAATACCTCAACTGTGTTCTACTTGCCAATTCCTGGGAACTGAAGAAATCGTATGTTCCTTCCAAGAATATTTCGATGTAAATAAATAAAAGAGGTGAAGGAAATTTGTGAAGAAGTGTTGTATATGATTGAAACCTGCAAACAGAGTATGAACCCTAAGTTGTTTCTATGGTAGATTCCAGAAATAAAATTTATGTATATTCAGTGCTGGAACCACGTGGAGAGCCCACCCCAACTTTTTATGGTTTAATTATATTTTAAGATCCTAGAAGGTTTGAAACCGTTATAATTATGTTATGGTTCTTCTAAATTTTTTCTACTTTAATTACATTTTAAGACTTTGTTAATTTTAAAGTTAATACAATTAAGTCTCATCTCTATTTTTTTTCTTCATTTAATTACTTTTTAAGATATATCAATTTTAAAATGAATGAAATTGAGCAAACATGAATCCTCTATTTTTATAGTTTATTTATCTTTTAAAACATTTTAATTTTAAAGATAAACAACTCGTCCTTCACGTAGTGTTTTCATAATTCTGCCATTTAAAAGGACATAAATTTTCCTTGCTCCCTTGGTTCTCGTCTCCTCCCATGAGAGAAACTTAGAAATCAAATAGGTTCCAAAATTTTAATGAATAAATGAGTAGAACTCATTCAGCACGAGGGGGGAATCGAGAAAGAGGGGAAAGAAGAGATAGATTAGTGGCCGTTGCGGTCGACAAGGACAAAAACAGCCTGCAAGCTCTCCACTGGGCTGTTGATAATTTCCTCATCAGAGGCCAAACCTTGAGGCTCGTTCATGTTCTTCAGAATCACAGATACATCACTTGACATGAACTCATCCTCGGCTGAAGGCTCCCTTATCTCTTCCATTTCCTTAAATGGGAGCGCCGGACATTCTTTGAGATCGCCCGCCGTGCTCGACCCGTGCCCGACCCGTGCCGGTTGTCGAATGTTGGGCCGCCGCCAGGGGGCACAATCGTTCCTCCCTTCGCCGAAAGCGTCATTCTAGTGCCGGCTCTCTCACTGACTGCTCGTTCTTGTTGGATGATGATTCATCATCTTCTGCAGAATCTCCAGTAAGTTCATTCATTCGATTTCCATGCCTTTAATGTAACAACTAATCATATTCAATTCTGGGTTTCTTTGTTTTAAAAAGAAAAGGGAAGAAGACAATGATGAAACAAGAAGGTTAAGGATAGAGTTGAAGAACACAATGGACATGTACCATGCAGCTTGCAAAGAGGCATTAAATGCCAAGCAGCAGGTAAACTATATATTAAACCTGTATCCATGCATGCATGCATGTATATATGTATGTTGAATGTACGTATGACATAAATTAAAACAACTCTATAGGTGATGGAACTCCAAGAATGGAAGAGAAAACAAGAGAGAAGAATGAGAGAATCATCGCCGTCCATAGCAACAGTTGACGAGACAACTCGGAAAGTGGTGGAGAAAGAGGTGCAGAAAAGGGTAGCATTGGTGAGAAGAAAGCTAATGTATGAATTTGGGCATTGCCAGTACCAGGCCCACTTCGTTGACAAATACCGAGGCTTGTTTCATATTGTAGTTGTCATTTTCTTGTACTACTTTTATTTCACTATGTTCATATTTGTAAAAAAAAATGTTCTCTCTCCCAAGATTATACATAAAATTTGAAACAATACCATACAAAAACTTTGATTTAGTGCAAAAGTACTCCACGCATAAAATCCCATGCTTGCTTCAAATTCCCATTTACCAAAATTTTAACCTTCCGTTAAGACTAGTTTGACTCAATGGTATCAATTTCAACTCATTCTTTTCTTAAATCTCCAATTAAACACATGAAGTTTGGAGTAAAAATCAATAGACTTACGAGAGTAATGCTTATTTTATCGATTATCAGTTTAACTAATGAAATGAAAGCAAGCTATAATGTTAATGATAATGAAGATTTTAACTCAAATAAACTCACATTCAAAACAATCATATTCTAATTTAAAGTTGAGTAAAGTGCATAAAAGTTCTCTAACTATATGATACTATTTTGTTTTTCCCCGACTATTAAAAGTTATAAAATGGTCAATCGATTATTAAAAGTTATAAAATGGTCATTTAATTATTCATTATATTCCAAACTTGTCATTTTCCGTTAAAAAATTAATGACAGTCTGAGCTGGACATTTTAACCTGATGGTTAAGATATGATAAAATTTGATCTTATAATCTCAAACGACTATCATAACTCAGTCAGCATGTTAACGTCCAACTCAAACGATTATTATTTTTTAACAGAAAAGAACGAGTTTGAAACATAATGAATAGTCATATGATCATTTTGTGACTTTTAATTGTCGAGGGACTAAATAAAACAACTTCCTATAATCGAATAATTATTTTGTAACTTTTAATAGTGGAAGAGCTAAACAAAATAATAGCCTATAATCGGAGGAACATTTATGTACTTTACCCTTTAAAGTTTTATTATCTTATTTACAGCAATAATAGAAAGTATAATCCAAAAGATAATATGGATGTTTGTTTGATGTATTATTTCTTGTTGTGATTCTAGAAATTAATCCATATGTTTGTTTTGAACTGTAATTTTAATATTATTATAATTGAATAAAATAAAATCTGAAGTTTAAATACGAATTAATTTTACATCTTGATTTCAAAAGTGTTTAAATAATTTATATAATAATTAAAAAATATTTTTAAAATAGATTAATTCACTTGAATTTAAAATTGAAGAAAAATTAAAGAAATATTTAAATCAAAATATTTAAATTATCTAATAATAATTTTAATATTTTAATTTAAAAACATTATTTTTAATATAAAAGTGAAAATAATCCAATAAATTAAGAAAAATAATTTTTAACTTTAGCAACTAGTTTTTCTATTTCATAAAAAAATTCAATATCTCATAGCATCGAAAATATCGCGAGTCCCGTTACCTGCTCGATATATTGCCACATTTCTGTAACAAACCCTTAATCCTAATACCAAGGCTCGGAACTCAGCTGTGATAGGGAGAAAGAGAAAGAGCAGCCAAAATGTCTTCGTTTTTGCAGTCACTTTTGGATCCGAAGAAGAGCTGGTTGGCATCTCTGCATATGAAGTCCCTTACCAATCGCCTCCGCAATTACGGTACGATTTTTCCTCAATACTCTAACCCTAATATCTTTTGTCCCCTAAATTTCAATTAAATTCATATTTGCTTAGGCCTTCGTTACGACGATTTGTACGATCCGTACTACGATTTGGATATCAAGGAGGCATTGAACCGGTTACCCCGTGAGATCGTCGATGCCCGTAATCAACGCCTTAAGCGTGCAATTGATCTCTCCATGAAGCACGAGTATCTCCCTGAAGATCTTCAGGTTTCTCTCATTCTTTTTTATTATTATTTTCAGTAAAGATTTTGGAGAATCTTATTCGAGTATTGATCTTAGAGGATTGGATTCCCCCCCCCCCGGTAATTGTGAATAAGAATTAGCTTTTAAATGTCAGAAACCTTCTTGAATGAATCCTATTAACTTTAAATTCATTTCATTATAAAAAAAATGATAAGAGTATATATGAATATAGTCTCTTAGGGAAGGTAGAATAATTCTCTTGATTTCGATGCTATGATTGGTTTCCACAGTTGGTATTTGTTTTTTTTTTCTCCCTAAATCTACTGGTAATACCATTAGAATAGAACTATAGAAGTTGCAATCCGAACAAAACTTCAATTTTACGTAGAAAGCTCGACCTGTGACTAAGACTGTCCAAAAAACTCTATTTAGAGCGAGGAACTAATGTTCTTATAATTTGTATCAATCAATATGATTAAGAAATATCACTATTTTTGTGAACATGAGTTGCTTGGTTTATGATTATAATAACCCATTCATGTTTGCGACTCTTCATTTTGTTTGAAGAAAGGTATTGGGGAATAGAATTAGCTATCTGCAGTTTTTATCAAATATGCATCTTCACTTCATTGCTGTGCTTTGAGATTCACAATAATAATTCATTGGATTTTATTGTCCCTTTGCAGAAAATGCAGACACCATTTAGGAGCTATCTTCAAGATATGCTTGCCCTTGTAAGTTTTTGTAAAGTTACCTTGGATTTTATTTTCTCATTCTTACAAAAAAGTGCACCTAAGCCCAAAGCCATGTGCTTGCTCAAATTCACCTCGTCCAAAGGGGTCTATAGTGCTTTTGTTGTGCACACCTTGATGTTTGCTGACGAATTTTCTGATTGTGTTTCACTTTCTCTATGCTGAATTATTGGAAATTTAAGCCGTTTTGTTTGTCTTTTTCACTGAAGCAAGGCTTTAAAGTTAAATGTGAAATGAATGGACAGAGTTGGAGCATATATATCAAGAAGTTTTTGCTTGTACCTTGTAGGTGAAGAAGGAGAGAGAGCAACGCGAAGCTTTGGGAGCCTTGCCTTTGTATCAGCGAACCATTCCTTAAGGGTTCTTGAGTTGTATCTCATAGCAACTGCTGTTGAATTGTTTGTCGAACGGTATTTCAATACCAGAGGACTGAATTTTCACCTTCTCCTGTTTTGGTTGGTTACAGTCATCTGTGTCTGTTTTTGAATTGGATCGCTGATTAAAGCTTATTTTGTTGGCAGTGTCCCAATAAGATAACGGAATTGTGAAACTGCAATTTACGCTTTTGAATGCAAGGAGAGCAATTCTAGAATAAATATGTATATACATATTCATATTCATAGTCTTCTACCACAATCTGAACACGTAGGTTCAACCAGATCAAATTGAGTCGAGTCAAAAAATTTTGAGTTATTTGAGTCGATGAGGCTTATTTTATAACTTGAATTTGACTTAATATTTTGAGTTGATGATTCTCTATTTAAATTTAATTGTAAACAACTATAATATTATTTTATTATTTTATTCCAATTTAAATGATTTTTTTTAATAAAATACAATACATATATTTTTTCATATTTTTTTTCATGTGATATATGCATATCATATAAAGTCGAAATATTCGATTCAAACTTGGAAATCAATTCATTAATTGCTAAAAATTTTGAGTTATTCGAATTGTATTTTGTAATTCGAGTTGAACTTAATTTTTTTTTCGTAGAGTCAAGTTTGTGAAATAATAATTCAAAATCAATTTTAGATGAATTGGAAAAAAAATTAATTTTTCTAGTCAAGTCGAGTTTTGCTCACTTCTACTTCCACTCACACAAGTTATCAGGCATTTTCCCTTGAATTACCTGAATTCCCGGGTTGGTTACCTGGCTAGTTATTTTTCATGGGTTCACAGATTAGGCCATGTGTTACAATTTTTGGCTGGTCGGGTTGTTACAATAAGGTTTCAAGGCTTTCTTCATTCTGCCCAGACAATAATTTAGCACCATCAACTTCCTTCCCCACATCATGTATGTCATCAGATTGTCAATTCTTTGAGCATGGTAAATCATTTGCTGATGATTCCAGCAAATTATTGGATTGTTTCAAATTTGGCTCGACCGAATATTTAGAGTTAGCACAATCATCTTCGACTATGCCATTTGCTTCATTTTTTTCTTTATTTTTCACCTAAGAAAATACAAATTATCTGAGCTAATAATATTTGTAACTAATTTTGTGCCGGATGCAAATCTGTCACTATAAATACATAGAGCCGCCATTTGTGTTTTTTCAAGGCGTAAATCTGTATTTCTTAAGGTAATTTTGAACTTAATTAAGACTATGGTTGCTTAACCGGACAACACAACTATTTAAAAAAACAAAAATCGATAATTTAAGCGATTGAATTGTTTTTTTTTAATTTGTGATTCAACTTGTATCGAGAGTTGGAGATTTGATCAATGAATAATGAATGAAAAAGTAACTGAAAATAGCTTTACCCATTTTCTGAATGAATACGTGTGGACAAGAAACGGAGGGAAGTGGAGTGACTACCGCAACATTTTCTTTTATACACAAGCAAAATGATCCCTCGAAGATGTTGAACCTCTCCCATCCCATATATTAATTTTATAGTAAGACAGATTTCACTATAAGACATTTCTAAAAATACTACCACATACGTATAATATACTACATAAATCATTCATGCCATTTATGCATTGTCCAAAAATATTATGATAGTAAACTAATCTGAAGCTGCTAAAGAATCCAAGCTTAAAGAAACCCAAGAGTTTCAACTTTTTCCAACACCAATTTTTCAGTTTTCAGATAAAAAAGAGCATTCGTTTACACATTGCTTTAAACTACTTTAAACTTGTCCTCTATTTTAAGCACGGGTTACACATTGCTATCCCAAGAATTGCTTTTCATTTTTTAAGGTATGCGACTCCCAAGGCTGAATCTAAATGATTTTGCAGTTGCAGATATAAAACTAATGGAGAAGGGTATCAAATATACCTGGATTCAATTTCTGCAGTGCCGAATCCTGGCCCACAAGTTTGGTCAATTCTCCTATCACTCTGTCCATGTATAGCACATAAAGACCATTTCTGCTTTCTAAAGCTTCAACAGATTTCTGTGCTTGGAGAAGTGATGTAACCCACTCTTCAAATACAACTGCAATGTGCCTCTGCCGATGTCATTTACCATTTCATAATGGTTACTACAGCCCCAAAATTTAAATATACCATTTTTCTCTTTTGGGGCGCAAAGAGTGCCGTAAGAAATGAAAATACATGCAGAATGCAAGGATAGTTTAAGTTTTTCATGGCTATAGTGCTGGCATTGAATGTCTTGTACATGTATGATTCACAAAGTACTACATTGGTACGAGTAGAAAGGAGTGGTGATGCATACCGTTTTCAAAGCCTTCATTTGTTGACCAGGTTAACAAGTAGTCTGATACCAAAAACTCAATAAGCTGGACCCTGTCACTCAGAGAAACTAACATGTCAAAACTGAGCTAGTCATTATACATGAAGTCTAGATGCATATTCAAACCTACAGTATTGCACAAAATCTAGAGTTGTGCACACAAATAGTTTGTTGAGATTACAAATGCTTCACTTAAAGCTTATTATGCTGTACAGAAGCAGGTGTATTTAGCACGGGAAAGAAATATGTTACTGTGGAGTTTTTTAACAAAAGCGCAGCAAGAAATGAAATGCACTTTTCGAATGAACAAAACAAATTTTAGGCTAGTACTGAAACCTATCTCAGAATAAGCAATATGCCTATGCTTACAAGAGATAATACTTACTCTAACATCCTTCATATTAGATATATGGAGGGAGAAGTTCAGATTTGACAAATATCTAAGACAAACCAACTTAACGACTACTGAGTTCCTGAACTATCATATCTTCTCCTGAATTGCTAGAAACCAAATGCAGAACACCAAACCATAATGTTTCCAGGGGAATTTCCTTAAATTTGAATATAGAAAGAACAAATTCCAGTATATAGAAGAAGTAACAAAAACACAAGCTGTAACATATAAATCCAGGATAAATTGTGGCTTATATAATAGATCATAATTTTATTTACTGAAAAACACACATACATCATACAAGATAAGAAAAAGGGAAAAAGCATACAGTTAAATCCTATAGAATTGGGATAAAGAAGGAAAAAATGTCAAGACAAGAGTGCACAATGCTCTAGTTTTAGATAACTTTGACTAATGATTGTAAAAAATTATGTTGCCAAACTAGTAACAGAATGCAGTTAAAGGTGAATTTAGAGGAAAACAAAACATGAAAGACTGTACACGCTAACCAGAAAATACTTACATTACGAACATGCACTCATTCATAGCAGCAAAAGCTTTATCAAATGGGTCCGAGAAGAGTAGACTTTCTGCCAGTACAGATATTCTTTGAGAAACTGAAAGTATTACACGTTGTCCAATGTATGATTCACACCCAAGCTTCCGAAGCAAATGCTGGATGTAAAGCTGGGAATTTGTGTCAGTTATATCTGCCTCTGTAATAGCATGTTGAGAAATAAATAAACTGGATAAAAGGGGAAAAAATGCTAACTAAAGGCAAACATGCATTAACATCCCACTTCTACCATCAGTAGATGTTGATATAAGCTGGACCAACTTTTTATTTATTTTTCGAAGACATGAATGCTCAACACAAACTTACAACAAATATAAGTAGATTCCAACCATGACACTATTTACCATCTCCTCTTGATGGAGAAGACATCTGGCTAACCAAACACGTAATTAATCTGCTAACAACTCCTTCAATAGATTCCAAGTTCTCTCCCATGGATAACAGATTCTTCAGTGCCGCTTAAGGAGACACATGAAAGAGTAGGAAAACATCAGCACACAGATTAGACAAGTAGGAAGCTCCAATCACTAGTGCAAGCTAAAAAAAATAGCCCACACTGCAAATCGATGAATTTTGGTAGAAACTAGGTGAGCCAAGCACACATTAAATATGGACTTATCAGGTATTCATTTACTTTGAAAATTGAAATCCCAAAGAACTTTTCAGGCTCAACAATGCAAAACAACCACTACTCTACGTCATACAAACAATCTTCTTTTTCTTAATCAAACCCAATAATTGTCTCACAATCTAAAAACAAAAATGGCATTAGGCAAGCAGTCATTGGATCTAATCTTGGTCTCTATTGTTGTTCAAAGAAATGCCTTATACAAGGAGCAGCTACTACAACATCAATCCTATAGTTCACAGTTTGTGTCACCAACTATCTTGTCACTTTTTCAGTATGTTATTGGTAATCTAAACAAGAAACAACCACACGCCTGAGATATCTTAATCCGAATTGAGTATTGAAAATATGAAAGCACTTGTAATCGAGAGGTAAGGGACATACTAAAATAACATGAATATATATATATAGTTAGTTAGATACTAAATAAATAGGCAATAGCATTTTGCCAGAAGTTCCATGCAATGAGACAAATAAATGAAACAGTTCATTACATGAATTTCTACTTAAACAATTTTCATAAGCTCCAATGAACATATCATTTCATGATTACCTAAAATAAAATCCACAGCTTGGTGAGACCAATTTTTGAATTTAGATTCTTGAACCTATAAGAAAGTTATGAAATAAGAAGAAAAGAAGAAATCAAACTACGGATTTACATATCTTAGAGTGATAAACAAAAACCAGAAGAAAAAGTGAAATCGCTTTACTGGAGAATTAGAACTGCAAAGCTCAACAAGAAAATCAACAGAAGCCCTAAGCTGTCCAGCTTGATCTTCATCGCTAAAGCCTGTAGTTTTAAAAGAACTTCTATTAATAGTTCAACTAAAACAGTAAAATATATATTAAAGAAAAAAAACCATTTTGCACATTCATAATATTCAGGCGAAAAAATTACTTGGTATTAAAAGCCCATGCATAAACTATTGCAACGGTCAAATTTACTGACAGCATACTGACTTATGCAAATGTTAAACGTGTAAAATCAAACAAAATACTAAGTTGAACCATACATGTTGCCAGAATTCATAAATTAAGAAACATATATCGGATCCCTAACACAAAGCATAAGGAAGCTAGATTAAATTGCAATATATTCAAAAGAGTCTAGTTAAAAGTCCTATGTACCGAAAGCACGCCGTTTTTGAGATGATCCAGTTGTTTTCCTTCTTTCTCTCAGTCGAACTGCAAAGCAGAAAATGGAACCATGAAGTTCTAAACAAGCATTACAAAGAACATAGCTGATATTGACCAATAATGTTGATTTAACCTTGTCTGAGAAATCTTCGACGAAGAACATCATCAAATCTATTATCGGAAGCGTCTCCAAGTCGATTAGGGCTTAATTGCCCCAAATTATCGAAAAAATAACACTTACAAGCAGCAGTGCGCGGGAAAAGATCGCATTGCGAAGCATCTACATTTGCATACATAAACTCAACCTTAAGTATAGAAAAAACTAAAAGCATGCACAAGGAAGGGAGAAAGAGTAGAAAAGCTGGATAACCTTCAGCTTCTTTGAGATATTCTTTGAGCTTGATAATCTCTTGCTTTCGCTCCTTCGCCTTAAATTCCATTGAAAGCGGTGAAATTAAAACCTCGATTTGGGAGATGTAAGAGGGAAGTCGAAAAGAAAGAAACAGAGACCTTTCGTTTCCATTTAAGAGCATCATCGGACTGTGAAGGAGGAGGAGGATGACGCTGCAATAACTTTGATCGGAGAAGAGAGATGGCAATTGCTAGCTTTAATGATTCTCCGTTTAGAATATTTGTCGATGCCGATGCTGCTTGGTTTTTGCTGGAGGACATTTCTGTTATCTCCCTTGATTCAAATAATGCGCGGGAGATTTGGCGTTTTGCGATTTGTTTTGGAGTTTATCCCTCAACCGGTTTTTATAGACTTGGGAATTTCGCAATTAGGTCCCTTTTTTTTATTAAAGATATTTTTCATCGTGTTTTGTATTTTCCTTTTGTTTAAATTGTGATTTTTAATATCTTTCATATATTTAAATTTTACATTTAATCACTATAATTTAGGATAATTTTAGATTTAGTCGCTATACTTTTACCTAAAGCATATCACAAGTTCCATATGATTATGGCTTTATAATTAATTTATTAATATTTAAAATTTGAGTTCACAATAAACTAAAGGGTAAAGTACACTGATGATCTCTGAATTTTTAAAACACTTTCACTTTGATTACCAAACTTTTATAAGTTGCAGTGGAGTCACTATCGTAATGGAAGTAATATTAAAATTCAATGACTTCAATGCAAGTGACAGTACCCTGAAAAATTAAGGACTACCAGGGTAGTTTACCCTAACTAAATTACTTGGTCGCTAACTGGAACACGTAAAGGTGCCCTTATTACCCAAAAATTGATGATTATTCTATCATTAAACAAATTATAATGATGCATGAAGCATAGAATCTGTAACCAAGAATCTGATTTTGTTATAAAGAAAAGGAAATATTGTAGATTCTAGCATTATTATCAATTGAACGTTGTAAACTTTGTAAAGCGAAAGAAAAATGTATCAAAATTAGCCATTGTGGTTCTTTTCTTCTCAATAAACACACGGCTGAATGACAATGTTGAAAATATACAACTCAATGAAACTTTACTTGTCCTTGGCAGCTGCATTTTATGGAATAATACAAGTTCTTGCGGATACAAAACATTAAAAAGTAGCATGCAAAACTAGAATAGACTCTGACAATCCTCGACCTCGGAAGCTGATGCATCGAGCAGACCTTTCCCTGAAGGATTCGAGGTAACGATCCTCATTGCGGTATCAAAAACAGCTTTCCGATACATGTCATCATGCATCTTCTTAAGGATCTCCTTCACCACCTTAAAATCTAATCCCTCAGCCAAAACAAGTCTCCCTATTATGTCTCCAAAAATTTTTGGTGTTTTTGGTAAGTCAATGGCAATATCATCCAACAAGGCACCATAGAGGAGGCATCCAGTCCCTGTGTCTCTAGGGCTAAAAACTTTCTTAGTCAACATATATTCGAGAAGTTTCGAAACTGGCTCAACACGAGGGGGCTTTTGTCCAAGGAAATGGAAATTGCTAATTTCACAACCTCAGAGTGTTACGATGGAGATTTTAGTTCCTCCACACACAGCAAAGCTTCATCAAGCAGCCTAACATTGAAATATTCCTCCAACAGCGCTTGTGTTTTCCTGTGAAGATCATCTGGATTTAGTCTTGGAGCTAGAGGTTTCTCCTCAATTGGTGACACAACATAAGCCACATGCACATGTTTGGTAGAAAGAGAAGGTTGCGCGATAGGCTCAGCACCCCAAGTAGTGTTGGATTGCCAAGCAGGAGGAGTTGAACTTCCCTGCAATAGCGTGCTTGTCCTACCACTCATTAGGCCACCACTACCTTGAGGTAACAGCCTTGGATTCATTGAAGCTTTATGGATTGATAGTGATGGCACACGACCTCCAGGCTGTACACATCGTGCATCACCCCTTGGCATTGATCGGGTCCTAGGAACTTCCCAATTATCATTATCCATTCCAGGCATTCTACGAGTTCCTGGCATTCCAGGCATCAGATCTCCAGTAGCAGGTCGTGTGACGGGGAAACCCCCAGGACCAGGGCTTGCAGGACCAGAAGAAACAACACGACTATTTCTAATACTTGCAGTAGCACCTGGACGCACCTGTTTTAGAGTTAAAAAAATTCAGGGACCAAGCCCTGAATTTACCCCTGGAGTATCGGCAGAAACACATTATATGCGTTTCATTCATTCTGAAATCAGAATGAAATTTAACTTTTCCTTCCAAAAAGTCTCTCTTTCCAAACGCGATTTCGACGCAGTCCGACCCCCGATCGTCGTTTTGAAACCACCATAGTGTTCGTCATCGAGCGAAGAACAAACCCCTTAAATTAATTAAAGTGAAACCCTGCCAAACGCCGTGAATTTCAAGTCAAAGCCTCGACTTTTTTTAGCACCATCGCCGAGAAAATCCTAAATTCATCGCCGATCGTTGCTCCGTTTTCGACACCTCCCGCACCATCGCGTTCCTTATGCTGTTCCGAGTTCACCGGTGTCATCCTTGGTCTCCGTCGACGACGGAGCGTGGGGAGGTGAAGCGGTCAAAGTTTCCGGTTTGTTGAAATCGAGCTCTCCGTCGTTCAAAAATTTAAACCAAGCTTTGTAAGTATCTCGAAATCGCTCAAAATAATTTTTAGAAATTTTTCTGTAAATTTTCCGACGCTCTTAGACGCCGCACGCGCCCCCACTGCGCGTGGGGAAGGCAAAAATAACCGATTTGACCAGCCTTTAAAGGTTTTGACCGGTTCCAACCCGACCCGACTCGTTAACCGACCCGACCGTTGATCAGGTTCTATTTTAGTAATTAATTCGAAATAAGTGTTATTTTAGTAATTAATTCGAAATTGGTGATATTTTAGTAATTAATTCGAAATATGTGTTATTTTAGTAATTAATTTGAAATGGTGCTATTTTAGTAATTAATTCAAAATAGGTGCTATTTTAGTAATTATTTTAAAAATGGTGTTATTTCTGTAAAATGGTTGACAGTTTGTTCACCTCTTTTGACCGGCTTTGACGAGCTATTAAACGACTGTTAATCTTTTCCGAGTATACCTATCCTGACAGTTTTTGACGTCCCGAACCCGTTTTTTTTTGTATGTTTCGCCAAATTCGAACCCGAAAGTCTCCAAATTATCAGTCAAACCCGTTGACTTTATTTTGACCAAGAATTCAAAATTTCAGAAGGTCATATTTTATGTTTTTCGACGTCCTGAATTTGATTCCGAAGTCCATTTTGCCAAATTCTGACCCGAAATCTCCGAATTGAGCATGTGAACCTAAATAGGCTTAGTATTTTGATTATTTATTTGAGATATGATTAAGGAATTGATTAAGTAAGATATTTTATGAAGGTACTCGTGTTTCACCTGAGCGAGGATCAGTCAGGTCCGGTGTTGTCCGTTCATCAGATCAGTCCGAACCGCGTAATACAAGAATTACTCGTAGTTTTCTGTATATGATTTAAATAAAGATTAAGATTTTTTTTTTATATTAGGATTCCAATAAAGATTTTTCCAATTCGTAGGATCTAGCGCTGCAGCAGAGCGTGATCAACAAACCCAGTAGTAGGCTTCCCTATCTGATTCTCAGCCTGTTACAGGTGTGTTTCCTGACAGTTTTATCTTACTGTTTTAAACTATCATATGAATAGTTATCTGATATGATACTTGACCTAAATTTTTATATGATACTTGACATGGATTTTGATCTGTTACCTGACCTGAATTATGTTTTAATTTTTGAAATATATATCCGTTATGAGCGAAACATGATTTATTTGGGGGTAATGATAGAGGAAGTATACCTGGAGGCTCCTCTGCTGTGTGCTCAGGGCCTTACTGGACTTGTTGGTGGGTGTATGGTTCTAGGGAACCTACACATTTTGGACTTGACGAATAAGGATAATGTTCATATTTTAAAACATGTTTGATAATCGGTTTTACTGGAATATTTTATTCGTATGTTTTTAATACACTGTTTGGAGCACACTGAGCTTTTTAGCTCATTCTGTAGTTTTTACCCTTTTTCAGATAACAACAACCCGTAAGTTAGCAGATTTGGCATCAGGAGAGATCAACTACTTATTTTGTACAAACGTATCTCTATATGTTTTTCGGTTATGTTTGGTGACATGTATATGTCATCGTTTTAGATATATCTGTATTATTATTATTATTATTTTGTTCTATATTATATCTAATGTATTTAAGTAAAAAAACTGAATGGGATATGTGACCACTTAAGTTTGGGTCTAACTTACAGGCCGGGTCTGGAGGGTTACATTTGGTGGTATCAGAGCTTTCGGTTTTAAACACTCGGACTGTATGTGGGTCCTAAACTTTGGATTTTTAAGAAATTTTGAAAAAAATGTCACCTTATTTTATGATTTAAAGTTCTCTCGAGATCTCTGATGCTAATCTGACATATGTTTCAAACTCTTTCTGTAGAACCTTATAGATCCAACGATGAGTGCTGCTAAAGGTCGTAGGGCAGGATGTGGCTATGGTCGAGGGCGAGTCGCTCGACCTTTTGTTACGATCGACGATCCGATGTCTCCACGTGATCCTCTTGTTCCGCAAGTAGATTCGACTCTTTCTCATGATGACCAGTTTACTCCTGTGAGAGATCCTCCCGTCACTGGAGATGAGGATACTGACATGAGTGAAGATGCCATTAATAGAGTTATATTCCGCATGTTTCAGAGAACTGTCAGAGCCCCTAGTAATATGATTGCGGTTGAGATTTCAAATTCTCTGGTTGTTGCTGGTGTAGTTCCATTCGAGGGTATTACTGGTGGACCTTCGACAGACGTTGAGTATTGGCTAGAGGACACAGGGAGGATTATAGATGAGATGAACCTCAGACCTGAACAGAAGTTGAATAGGGCCCTAATTATGTTTAAGAAAGAAAGCTTCAGATGGTGGCAATCAATTTCTGGTAGTATTCCGAGAAACCAGTTAACATGGGATCTTTTCAAGACGCGCTTCCGGAGTCGCTACATCGGAGAGAGATACCTGCAGGAGCGATGTCAGGAGTTTCAGAATCTGGAGCAGGGTAGCATGTCTGTTATAGACTACGAGGTTGAGTTCATCCGATTGAGCTGTTATACTCCTGGACTTGTTGACACGGAGACAGATCGATGCTTGAGGTACGAGAATGGACTCAGGTATGATATCAGGAGTCGAGTCGCTACCCACCGAGAGAGGAATTTTGATGCTTTGGTTGAGATAGCCAAGACTGCTAAGGAAAGAGAGCGACTGGGTATGGAGCACAAGAGAGATA